TCTCTCTCTCTCTCTCGTGTTCTCCCGCGAGCGCGAAACTTTCAAAGTGCTTGTACGCGACTGCGGAACTTTACGAATGAGCCTGCGGCTAATATTATCCCAGCTGTGCCACCTGAGGTTTCCACCAACGGAACAAAACGAATGATCGTCGGGTAAACGCGGCGGCCAGCCGAACATCGAACAGGGAACTTTCGCTAATTTGTCGAAACGCGAGTTCGACCGAGTTCTGCTTAGACAGGTCGGGTCAGTCTGATTTACGATTGGTTTACCGTTTACCGCGATAAATCATTCGCGATCCCCCTTGCCTTGGCCACGTTCGACGAGGCGAAGGAGTTCGCGACGTAAGGTACTGTACGTACATCCTGGATCGAATTCCGGCGATCGAGGTTTCTCGAAGACTCTAATCAAGCAAGAACAGCCCAAAGATTTCTATCGCGAGGAAACTGATCCTTCGTAAATGGGGGGGAAAAAAACGAGGAGCGTCCACGTTCGAGGGAATCGTTCGAGCTGTCCGGGGTCGCTGATAGCGACAACGAGAAATTATTATCCGCCACGTGCTCCGAAAAGCATCCACTTGCGAGACGAGGAAAGAAACATTCGTGTTTATTTTCTTTCGATCTTTAACGCTTCGAATGGACAACACGAGCAACAAACATCGAGAAACGCGAGAAAACGTAGACACACAGACACACACACACACACACACATACACGAAGCGGCAAGCAGCAAATTTCCCAAGGAACGTGAAATTGTTTCTTCGGTCGTTGCTTCAGCGAACGTGTATAAAATCTTCATCGTTAGTAACGAACGAAGGAGTCTACCCTCCTGTCGCCTTGGAACCGCAGTCTCGCGTAAGAATTCGACTGAGCTCCGCTGCTAGTAGTTGCTTGGCCACGCGACCCCGATCGTTCAGCAGGTTGAGTTGCGGCCGTTTCGACGGAAGGCTGATCCTCCTCGGATCTATACTGTTGCTGATACGCGGCGTCTTCGGAATTCGCGACGTCATCGCCGTATTGGACAATCGCCGTATTGGACGATCTTCCGGCCGGTGTCGGATAAGAGGCGGACTGAAGCCGACGGAGCTGCTGCGCGAGAGGTTCCTGGGTCTGCAAGCTCTTTGGTATTCGATAGTCGATCGTCTGGACCTGATCTTCTCGGCGAGTGATCGGCCGGTAGGTTGTCGGTCGTTGTTGATATTGCCGCTGAGTAAGCAACGCGTTCGCGAACGAGGGAGTAGGAGACGGGGTGGTGGCCGGTGACGACGACAACGACGACGACGCCGAGGCGGACAGCTCGTACAGATTTGCCAGACCGAGCGTCTGTCCCTGCCCTCCGCGATGCACGTTCTGCAACACAAGGACAGAGACAGAATGTTATGCATAGGTCTTGCAGAGTGAACACAGTTTTCATTCCGCGGCTGTCTATCGGCGTCTCGATGATTCGTTCTCGAAATGTTTCTCACCTTCCTGCGATCATCGAGACACCGATTGACGTTGGAAATTTCTTTTCTACGAGTTGCCTCTCTTGATATAGCATTTTTCGGAAGGAAAATGTTTATTTTTCCGACTCCGCCAGCACCTCAGCGATTCGTCCTTTACATTTTCGATGAGGAATTAATCGTAGCAACGATAAAAATTCTACGAATAAAACTTTTTAACTATAATTGCACATTTTTCATTTTTCTCTCCGTTCATCGAGACACCGATTGACCTTAAGAATTTTCTACAAGAACGCAAAGCTGCCTTCCTGACAAATTTCTTTATTTTTCTGAGGCCGTTGGCGTCTCGACTCTCGTTCACATCGCTACGCTTTGAAGAAGAAGAAACGTTGGAAATGTTTCTTTCGTACGACGAAAGGATTCTACGACGGCGAAATCGGGCAGATTCCCCTCGGAATCATCGAAGACACTGATTGGCACCAGAAACTTTCTACGCTGGCGAGCAAAACACAGAGTTTCTTCTCCGCGCGTATATGGCTTTCGACGAGAGGACGAGATACTTTGGCAGCCGAGGACGGAGGCGCAAGTCGTTGACATAGTCGGGCGTAGAACGGTCGGAAAATCCGTAAATCGGCGAACGCATTGTCGTCCGCTGACATTCAGATATCCGCTCAAATATTGACAGAGACAAATTCAGCGTGGAACAATATCGAGTCTGTATTGATTGTAGCCGTGAAAGGCAAGTTTGTTTCTCGGCACGTCCGTCTGCGTTTACGCGATCGACTATCGGCGAAAACGAAAAGCGAAACGTTCGTTGTGTGTTTCGACGTCCACTGCCGCGAGGGAAGGAAGAAAACGCGCGAAACGAAAGTGTACATACAACACGGAGGACGTTTACTCCCCTTTCTCTTTCTCGTCGATTTTCCTCGAGTCTACGTCATACAAAAAGTTCCATTATGCATACACAGTCGGAAGATGAGCGCCAGATGAGAGCAAGATTCGTTCGATTGCGAAACATTTAGCTCGCCGAGGAATGCCGACGGAATGTAAAAGCGGTTGGAAGTTTGACTGGACCGAGGAGGGAACTTGCGCGAAAGCGTCGAATCGGCCAAAGACGATGTAAATCGATAAAGAACTTTCTGGAATCCCTTTCCTCCAGCCAGTTCGAACGTGATTGGCATTTGCAGTTTCGCACGCCGCTGCTTCGCTCGAGAATATCACCCTCGCGCGAAAAAGGGCGGAAAAAGCGCGAGAAAAGTCTCTACCCTTTTTTAAAGTCGGCGCGTGTTACGTTTCAATTAACACGCAACACACGACTCGGCTTTCGTGAGAAGTTGCGTCCGCGTGAAGTTGGCCGGATTAGGCAGAGGTTGCATCGCGTTTAAAAGAAATACAAAACCTGGGCGCGTCTCTCCTCTTGCAGCGAGTCTGCCTTCGCCGACTACAAGAAGCCTTTCCAGCTTACCTGCGGCGAAACTCCGAGCATCTTTAGGGACGGTGGCACGTTAAGATTCTGCGGAATTTGTACATGGCCGAAGTCCACGGTGAACGCCTCGCACCAGACGCCGAAGTGGCCGATCTGGTGGATCGTTAGATCCCCGGGCAACGTCAGCACGATGGCTTTGCGATCGTATCGACGCAGCGGCTGCTCCTTTCCGTTCTCGTCCGGTACCCGAATACCTTGCGGCGATGG